CTGCCCAGGTTCCCTCAACGCCTCCAGTGTGGACAGACATCCTGGGTTACAGCTGTCCCCATGCCTGACTCTGCCAGAGCCCGATTTGAAGAGCAGGGACCAATCACACTTCAGTGACCCCAGTGCCTCTCCTGGCCCTGAGGGGGCAGCAGTCTAGAGGGTGAAAGAGAGACTGAATGAATGAACGAACGAACGAAAGAACGAGTGTGCAGGGAGGGGCTGGCATCTGGGGCATGCAGCTTGTCGGCCCCTGACAGTCTCGTGTCCCTTGCAGATGTGTTGGTGGATGGACAGCTGTGTGACTGCGAGGCGGCGGCAGCGTGCCAGGTGGGAGACCCCGTGCGCCTGGAGGTGCGGCTGACCAACCGGAGCCTGCGCAGCGTGGGGCCCTTTGCCCTCACCGTGGTCCCCTTCCAGGACCACCAGAACGGCGTGCACAACTACGACCTGCAGGACACCATCTCCTTCGTGGGCTCCAGCACCTTCTACCTTGACGCGGTACGTGGCAGGGTGCAGGGTGGGTGCGGAGCCCTGGCCACGTGGCCCAGCTCTCCTGCCTTTGTCCCCTCCCCCGGGCAGCAGGCTAAAATGGCAGAGGGGCTGGCAGAGAGGCAGACGTGGGGCAGCTCTGGCCCTAAGTGTTAATGCCACGTCCTCCTTGCTGCAAGAACTCGTGGAACGCGCCTCTCTGTAGGCCCCTGCCCTGAGCAGTGTTGCCAGGATGACGGCGGCTCCTCCTCTGAAGGCAGGTGGAAAGGAAGCGGGCGGAGCTGCTGCTGGGAATGCAGCTGGAGGTGCCATCCCCAGGTTGTCACACTCAGAGCTTGTTGGCCCCCAGTTCAGCCTCATGCTCAGCTCACCTGCACCGCCCCCCCGCCCCCGCTCAGACTCCCACACACCTGAGCTCACTGAACCCCAAACATGGCAGGGAGGGAAATGTCGGCCTCTCCCCTCACAGATGAAGCTCGAGACTCAGGGAGGCATGGTGACCTCCAGGGCGGCATAGCAGAGCAGTGGGAGGCACACAGGAGCCAGGCCTGGTGGCCACCCTCCCCTTTCCCCAAGGTCCAGACGTTCACGAGTCTCCTGGTGACGCTGGAGGTCCCTGCACTGGTCTGGGCTGACACCTCTTCCTCTTGCCACAGGCGCAGCCCTCGGGCCAGTCGGCGTGCCTTGGGGCCCTCCTCTTCCTCTACACGGGCGACTTCTTCCTGCACATCCGCTTCCAGGAGGACAGCAAGAGCAAGGAGCTGCCGCCTTCGTGGTTCTGCCTGCCCAGCGTGCGCGTGCGAGCCCAGGAGGCGCAGGCCTGACCCCACACGCTTGTGTCCTGGGCCAGAGGAGGGGACAGCCCTGGCCTCCCCATGGCAGATGGGGCTTCACTGCGCCTCCCATCGCCACCTCCTGCAATCTTGTCCCTTTCTCCTGTTACGGCTTTCTGGCACCGCACAGCTCACCCTTTCCCAAGCAGTTCATGCAGAGGTGTCTCTGAGCAGCCCCTGAGTGCTCCCTGCACCAGGCCCAGGGCCTGGGGCCACAGCCGCCGTGTGCTCTCCCCTGCGAGCCTCCCTCCTTCCCTGGCCCAGGAGAAAAGTTGGCACTGAGTTGGTCATGGAGGATGCGCTGAGAGCCCCTTGACCATGCAGGCAAGTGTGGGCCATGCCAGCTACTCCAGGGTCTAGGGCTGCCTCTGGTGCCCTCCCCGTTGGGCTGGGCTCTGGGTGCTGCGGCCTGCGGTCCCCTGACGATTTTTCAATAAAGGGTCTGCCCACTCCTCCCCGTGTGTCTGCTCTGCCGCCCGCCTCCCCGTTGGGGATGCAGCACGCGGCTGTGCCTCTGACCAGAGACTGGGGCTCTCCCTCCCGGTTTCCCAGGACACCTCCTCGTCCCCCGTGCCATGTGCTCTCAGGACCGCCCCACAGCCCCTCAGAGCGCAGACTCGAGCCCCTCCCCTGGTTCTGCTGTCTGGGCCTCTCTCCCTCACGAGGTCACGCGCCATCTGCCCCTTTCTTCCACACAAGGGCCCGTGGGGACATTCAGGAGCAGCAGCAGAGGCAAAGGGAGGCACACAGCTGGTGTGGGGTCCCTACCGTGAGCTGCCCCGGGACCCCACGAGGGCTTTCTCCCCTTGCCTTTCTCTTTGGGGCGCCTGTAGCTCTGACAGCCCTTGCCTGGCTGGAGGGCACCCCTCTGACGGGGCTTCCTGTCTCCTTTCTAAGAGCCTCTCACCCAGTAGTCCTCTGACTGTGAGGCAGATCTGGAGCGTGTGGGTGCAGCACAGGAGCCCCCATCTCCATCAGAATGCCTGGGGAGCAAGGTGGGTGCTGGCTCCACAGGGCAGGGAGGGTGGACAGGCAGCAGGCAGCTGTCGTGGGACCTCAGGGGGCTTGGTGACAAGTGCCCTTTGGTTCATTAGGCCAAGTGCCCCAAGCAGCCCCAGCTCTGGGTAGATAGCAGGAGGGTACGAGTCACAGCGAGGTGGAAGGAGCAGTCCTGGCTTCCCAGCATGGCAAGGGGCTGCCCGACCATGTCCAGGTTGCCAAGGGCAGGCTTTAAATGCTTGCAACGTGAGGCAAGGACAAATGATCGAGGTCACGGATCTGCTCATTACTGTGATTCGATCACAGCACGTTGTATTCATGCACCGAAAAACCACACTCTGCCCTATGAACATGTACAGTTACTGAGTCTGTTAAAGATCATTTGAAAAAGCTCCCCGCTCAGGGCAGGGGTGAACTCTCCAAGTCTCCGTCCCAGGGTACCTCCTGTGCTGGGCAGGGCCTCCCGATGTTACCTCGCCCCAGCCCCTCCAGCTGCCTGGGCCAGGGTAGGCATTGCACCATTGCAGAGTGGGGCCGAGCCTCCAGTGCCTGAATCACCAACAGGAAGTGGCAGGGCAGACTCAGAATCCCACCCAGGCGGGCAGAGGGCTCCTGCCTGCCGCTCTAGAAGTGTCACCCCAAGGAGACAAGCTTCACCTTTGGGAAGGTGTTTACAGTCCCCCTAGGGTGCTCGGCCCAAGCCTTGGCCTAAGCATGTCTCCCGGTGTTTTTAGCAGGTCACCACCTGTGGCTTTGCAGGCTGTGCATCACCCAGAGGCACCCCAGCCTCCAGAAGGCTGGAGTTGAGCTCCCCTTGCTTGCTGAGGCAGGTTTCTGGTGGCTGTCTGTGACCTCCTGCCATTGCTCAGGTGGTGGGAGCACATGGCCATGTGTGGGCGGAGCATGGGGTGCAGGTGCCTGGCTGCCCCTTGTCCTCTCCAGCATATTTGTCATCTGCCCGGGGCCTGCAGCTATGCAGGGAGAGCCACCAGTAGGTCTGCTAGTGGCAAAGTGGAGACCCTGGAGTCTCTCAGCCCCCACTTCTGAATGTGTCCGCGCAGGCTGGCCTGGCCTTCTTTCTAAAGAAGGCAGTACCCCTGGACATCGACATGGACAGAGCCTGATATACCGGGGAGTGAAGCAGCACACTGCACAGCGATGGTGCAGCACCACCCCACTCAGGCACCCCCAGATCCCCCACTTCATGTGCATCAGGTGTGTCTGAGGCCCGGCCATTGTGGTGCAGTTGGTTGCATGGTGACTGTGGAGCTGGAAGCCTCATTCTCTGAATCCCTGGACGGTCTGCCTGAAACACACCAGGGAGTACCCAGGATCCTGGTGAGCTGGAGGAATCGGGAAAGGGAACCACGGTGTAACTGGGGCTTGTGGAGGGTGCCCCCTCCCTCCATGCACATGCACGTTTGCAAGATGGAAAAGATGCATGCCTCCCCCAGGATAAGGACCTCACTGGGTGTCAGAATTAGATGCGGGTCCAGAGGACGTTAATGACCTTGCACTGTCTTTACAAAAATATAATAGATTGATAAAGATGTAGATATGGATAAATATACAATGACAGATATGCTGTTCTAGATACAGATAGTTAACAGAGTACAGAGATAATATACTGAGATACAGATACAGACATGGATACAGATACAGAGCACAGAGATACAGATATAGACAGAGTACAGATACAGACAGATACAGAGACAGAGTATGGACACAGACAGACAGAGATACAGATACAGACAGAGATACAGATACAGACAGGGATACAGAGACAGAGATACAGATACAGAGATATAGAGACAGACAGAGATACAGAGACAGAGTACGGACACAGAGACAGACAGGGATACAGATACAGACATAGATACAGAGACAGAGTACAGACACAGAGACAGACAGAGATACAGATACAGACAGGGATACAGATACAGACAGAGAGACAGAGACAGAGTACAGACACAGAGATAGACAGAGATACAGATACAGACAGGGATACAGAGACAGAGATACAGATACAGACAGAGAGACAGAGATACAGATATAGACAGAGATACAGATACAGACATATATACAGAGACAGAGTACAGACACAGACAGACAGGGATACAGATACAGACAGAGATACAGATACAAACATAGATACAGATACAGACAGAGGTACAGAGACAGATGGAGATACAGAGACAGACAGAGATACAGAGACAGAGTACAGACACAGACAGACAGAGATACAGAGACAGACAGGGATACAGATACAGACAGAGATACAGATACAAACATAGATACAGATACAGACAGAGGTACAGAGACAGATGGAGATACAGAGATAGACAGAGATACAGAGACAGACAGAGATACAGAGACAGACAGAGATACAGAGACAGAGATACAGATATAGAGATACAGATACAGAGTACAGATACAGGTACACGGATACAGACTTAAGCCTAGAAAAGCTAACATGAAATACCCTGGAAGTGTGATTCCACATGGCGAGAGTATTGGGACTGTTCTTTTTTCATTTTCTATAGTTTATAAAAACAATAGTTACCAGAGAAGATGCTGGGTGCTAGGAAGGCCAGGAAGGCAAAGTTGTCTTCTTGGAGGAGGGTATATTAGACATAACCCAGGCACCCTGGGAAGCAACTCAACTCGGGCCTGGCTCAGGTGGCCCCAAGCCCTCTGCCATGGCTGGATCGCTGTCCAAGTGGAGGAGGTGACCTGGCATCAGGACCAGGAAGGCCATGCGTGTGTATGAGCAGCCCATGATTTGTTGCAGGAAGCCAGAGAACCAGGGAGCTGTTTCAAGCAGGGGCATGTTTGTTGGCATTCATGTGGCCAAATCATTCTGGCTGGGCAGCTGTGTCATAGGCTGCGGCTGCGGCTGAGGCAGAGGGCCTGGACCAGGCGTGTCAGTGACAGTGCAGTGCCCTCCTGGTTCTTCCAGGGGCCTCATCCTGGCCTCTTAATGCTGCTGCCCTACAGCGGATGCCTCCTGGGCCCCAGGTGTGTCTGGGGTCAGCAGAGGCTGAACCAGGAATGGACTGTGTCCATTTCACTTCCCCAGATGAGCAGGCTGGCTTTGCACTCGGATGCGGCCTTGGGCAGGGCAGGCTGGCAGTGGCCCCATAACCCCCCAGCTGCCATACTTTCTCATCTGAAACTCTCAGAACAGGGGTCCAGAGGAAGATGAATTCTAGCTTAGGCACTTGTCAATTCCATGACCTCAGACAAGCAGCGAACCCTGATTTGTTTTTCATCCGAATAAATGTAGATAAAAATTCTTATTCCATGAGCATTTTTACATTAATTATTTGATTTGATTTAATCTCCTCAGTGTTCATAGCACATGAAAGTGACTCCTCAGTAAATGCTCCTTTTTCTTCACCTTCTTATTGCCTTCCTCTTTGGTTTGGGTCCCATGTCCTACCAGGGCCCTGACATTCTTCCTTCTAAGATGATATCACTGCTCCAACAGTCCTCTGCATGGGTTAATTTACTGGGTAACATGAAAGAGTATAAGGCAGAAATTTCTATCACAAATGCAATTGCGTAATGAAGCAGTTAAACAAAGGATGGACCTGTGAATGATTTCAGAAGACTCAGGCGTCCTATGGAGCCACCACCTGACAGCCCCCAAACCACTGTTACTGCAGTATTGTAAGAGCCAGCCCTGGTCCCAGTGAGCAGAGAAGAGAGTGAGATGCATCAGGCATTGGCTCCTGGGGCCTCAGAATCATGTAAGGGGTTAAAACAAGTAAAGATAAAAATATTTTTTCAATGTGGGGCCCAGACTAGGGGTCCAGACTAAGCCTCCCATGGAAAACAACCGGAAAGGATAGTGATTATATTAAATAAACAAAAAGGCACGTTTGGAAGTGCATCTGTAAGCTATGGGAAACAGTCTACTCAGTTTGGTCCAGAGAGGCAAGCTTGCAGTGAGGTTGACTTTACATTCCGATTTTGCCAAACAGGAGTGTATTTTTCAAGCCTTACAAAACTAAAGCAAAGATGACAAAGCCCAGGGCATGCCAGGTGGGGAAATCTAAAAGGAGACCAAGGATTACCCTTAGTAAAAGGTGAACTGAAGACCACCCTCTTCCCACCCTATGAGGGCAATGGACTAAAACTGCCCTGTCATTACCCTTTCATTCCAACCCATACTGGCCCTCTGGCAAGTCTGCAGTCCCTACATGCCTCCCCCAACCTCAAATTATTGATTAACTTCAAAGTGGTCCTAGGCACACAGCACCCCACCACACATACCAGATACCTTACAGAAGGAATCCACTCTCATCTCAAGCCTACAAGCATTTCTAAAAGGAAAATGAATAATGCAGAGTTTAAAAACAAAGTCACTAAACACAAGAAAACATTGAATCATATTCAAGCGTCAGGAGAAACAAAACCAACAGAGGAAGTCTTGAAAAAAATTTCGATA